TTTGCTTGTATGTATGTACATGCTTGTCCTTTTTTTCTAAACATCCTTTTCAAAACGATTTCATTTTTCATTTGTGTTTTCAATAAGAACTTGGTGGAAATTTTAGTAAAAAAAAAAACAGCTCATTTGTTTATTTTAGGGCAAAGTAGGGGTTTTGTTTCAGCTAACATCTATAAGAAACTTGCCCATGAATACTGAGATGTTGTTGACTAATGATTTCTGGAGGTTTTTCAGGTACTTTTGACTTATGTTTGTGATTTAACTGCAGTCTCTTTTGTGTTTTGAATATCACTTGCTGCAGAATCTTAACCACCTGCCCAGGAAAAGATAGTTTTTTTTCATTGCATTTTCACAGTGTGACTTACTGCTTATTAACAGAAGTTTTTAGTGATTTTTAAGAACCAGTCTTGTTCTTGTGATAATAAAGCTTGTGCCAAAGGATATGAAGACTTTAAATTCTTAAAAGCATAATCAATCTGAAACATTGGAAGGCTTTGAAAAGGTGTCTTGCACTTACCACAGTGTTCTAAGTTGCATTTAAAACGTTAAACTAGATTTGAAGTTTACTTTGTCAATCATAGCTGCCGGCAATCTCTTAAACAGGCTTAAATGAAATAAAAATTTTGACCTCCTAGACAATCACATATTTCAGACCTATCTGACGCCAGTCTGGTTTTTCAGAAGCTCTTTCCTCCTACCTGATGGAAAACGGCTTTTAAATGCTGGGTTTGTAATTTGCAGCTGTGGGTGGACTGAAGTTCTGATTTCATCTCGATTGAACCGCTGGGTGAATTCAGCAAACCTACACATTTCAATTGAGCTTAAATGGCAACTTCGTCAGCAGTTGAAGATGCTGAGATACAGTCAAGGGGTGAGCTTTGTGGTATTCTGGGAAGGAAACCCAAAAACCCTGCGCCAGACAAAGTTTCCTTTAATAAGCTTGTAATATCAGTGTAGAGCTTTGTCAGCTCTTTTTTTCTTCTTATACGTGGTAAACGATGGAGGGTCCGAGCTTGCTTTTTCCTAGTTAGGTACGCAGGTAGAAACGATATGTTTTGCTGGGGTTTTTAGCATATCTGACTGTTGTGTGACGAAGCACCGCCCTGCTGAACGAGATGGAGTCGGTAATCGGCGATTTAAAGGTTCAGCAAAAGGCGGACGAGATAAAGGCGGATCCGGGGGCAGTCGGTGCACGTGCTCCGCGCGTCCTCCTGCGCTCATTTACGCCGTTTAATCTAACCATCCGCTTGATGGTGGTTGAAATTGGTGGTTCTGGATGAATATCTCCTGCCATTTCGTTGTTGTTTCTTTTTGGCGCGGGTGTAACAAGATTTTATCGTTCCACTTTTTTTTTTGGTCTTGTGTCTGTCTTCTTCCAGGAAGGAAGACCTAAGCTTCTTAGAAAGAAAGCAGCAACACCTACTCTCAACAGACGGAAAAGCGCGCACGTTTAAATGATACCAAGCTCATGCTGCCTCTCGCTCTGCAGCCTTCTTTTCCTGTTTGCACTCGCACTCCCTCCCTAATCTAAAAAAATCACCTTTGTCGGTTTTAACCCTTTCACTTGCGTGTAAGATTGCAATTTGCGGCCAGGTTTAGCGGTCTGAGACGTGGCCTTTTTTTGGCATCTCCATGCTGACGTATCAGCTTGGGGCCCTGACGCTCGCTCGAGCTTGCCAGGTTTGAACACACACACAGACAGAGAGAGACAGAGACAGACACACACAGAGACAGAGAGAGAGAGACGGTTGTGCCTGTGGTTCCTATGAGGAGAAGAACACACGAAGATGGAAAAGTCAAATCAGCAAAGTACAGCCCTCCTTCTTAAGCACCTTTGTCGTTTTCTGAGTTCAACTGTTTGCTCAAACTCGAAGGCGGAGCAGAGAGGGTCTGATTATATCAACCTAATTAAATTAAATTTAATTAAACACTATTAAACCTAGGACAGCACGGTGGTGCAGTTGGTAAGCATCCCTGCCTTGGAGCACTGGGGCCCAGGGTTCAATTCCACACCTGTGGTGTTTGTGTGTTCTCCCTATATTTCCTCCGAATCCTCTGGTTCCTTTAGACAGTCCAAAGACGTACAGTGTGGGCAGGTAGATTGGCCTTGCTGTAAGTATGTGCCTGCCTGTGTCTGTGTGTGCCCTGTGATGGACTGTTGTCCTGTCCAGGGTGTATCCTTGTGCCTGTTGCCTACTGGGATAGGCTCCAGCTCCCCTATGACCCTGGATTGGATCAAAAGAGGTTAGAGAATGGATGGATGAATTATACCTAATTTGAATGAGGTTGATTTATTGGCTTGACTCACCTGACCCTAAAAAAGGGGAAACGATTTGACAGTTTTGGTGTCTTGACATGCTTGAAATTGCTGGCTCTTGTAAAGCAGGCCTGCTCGTCTGACCCTTTACTGGACAGACACTTTTTACCATAATACAATTTATCAGCCTACTCTTCAGCCTACTTTTTTGGTTAGGTTTAGGGCTAGAACTCCTTCTCCCTTTCCTTTATTTTGAGGGGTGAGCCAGCAAGCTGCTGCAAGAGCACAAATCAGACATCGCCAAGCACTTCAGCGAGTCATGGAGGTAGGGAGAGTCTTCACTAAATGTTTCAAGTATTCAGGACGTGAATACGAGTGTTACGATAATGCGCAGTCTGGGTAATTCAATGGCGTGCAGTACACGGAACAATCTAATTTTCCTGACGTCACTAGAATATGCCTTGTGACATG